GACCATTATGCTACCGCGGCCCTGACGGCCGTGCCGAATTTTCTCTAGCCTTAGGCTGCAAGGTAGCGCAATTTCTTCGCATTGTAGGTAAACCACAATACTAGGGAAAATTCGACACGGCCGTCAGGGTCGCAATAGCATAAAGGTCAGTGCATTCGCCCGGACAGCGAAGGGTGCTGGTTCGAGTCCTATCTTATGCCTGGTCCGCGTGGATTTTTTTCTAGTTAAGTTTTCTTTAGATTTAAATATCTGGCATATAAATGCTTAAAAAATCTAAAATATGTGACTATCAAATACTTTAACAGTTTGTTTTGTTGCTCTATGAATAGAATCGCGTATTAGGAGTTATATTCAAATAACAAATAAGCTTTAAATTTATTCATCAGCTATATTTCTCTATATCCGGTGATATTTAAACAGCGTCTTTTTATGGTGCGCAGTTTCCATATTAGGTGGTCAGTCACAATTTTGTCGCTTTTCGTGATGTGAAACTCAATGATGCAACCCGACTTTGCTCGCGTGGTCGTCTCGGACCTAGGAAGGTCATTGCACTGCCTGTGGTGTTTGGTTTGGACATACACCCACAAACTATTTTCGTGAATATATTTGGCAGTTAATGATACTCGATTATGCAGTGTTGGTGTAGTGTTTAAACTGTCATATATGTGATGATTGATGAGGCGCTTCATTGGAGAAATTGAGGAAATTCAATTCTGAACAGGTTTGCTTTGCACAGGTTTCTGTCGTCATCGACAGAAACAACACCACAAAGGGAATTGTTATTTGACTGATATTTTATACGGTGGAGGTTAGGAGGTCCCTAGACTGGTGGTCCTGTTCCAGCGGAAATCCATCCAGTTATGCCTAAGGCTCTCTTTTATAAAATAACCAAAAGTTAGAAATAATAAATATTTTGTTTATCACTTACCCGTGCCCGTACTGAAATTCGAACGAGGCAGGAGCGCCTTTTATGCTAAAGGGGTGGTAAACGAGCGTATGGCTTGCCACCATAGCCTATAGACGCTTCATCAATCATCATCATCAACAGCCTATCCTATTCCACTGCTGGACATAGGCCTCTCCAATTGCACGCCACACAGATCGATTTTGGGCTACTCGCTTATAAACAGGGCGTCCCACGACTACCTTACACGGAGGGAAAGTATATTAAATATTGAAGATAAGATATTTTACTAAAACAAGACATCATTTTATTTTTAATAATAACTAGAACTGCACTGCATTCACAGTTTTTTTTAAAATCGCCTGCTTCAATTGGGAATCAAATTCGTGAAATTTTGAAAAAATAAACACAGCATATTTTATGATAACCATCGAAAGGGTTAATCATAAGGATTATTTTATGCTTAATAACATAGCATTTTAAATGGTACCAAAAATACTACTCGCGTCTAACCTAACCTACCCTGCGTGACGTGGAGCCCTGAAACCTCACTCACTGGCAGAAACACAACACCACCAAAAGATAGCGTGATTTAACTGTGGTCTTCTGTATGGTGGAGGTTACTTCCCCAGCAGAGATGTACAAAATGGTTTTAAAAAAGCATTTAAATACAAAATGCAAAATACTTTTCAGATTTACTATTTCAAATGCAAAATACTAAATAGTTTTGCGTTTTGTATTTCAAATGCTAAATGCAAAATAGGTATTTTCAAAATACTTTTTCAAAATAAAATACCCCCTGACCAAATCACAGATATTTTTATTTATTATAGGTACATATTTACTTATCATACATGAGCAATAGAGACACACAATGCCGAGCCGAAAAACAAAAATACTTTTTTTTACTGTAGGATAAGCATTTAGCATCTCCAGACTTGTGCTCTCATCCTTTAAATATTGCAGGGAGCAGGGTTTCCAGATCTATTGTAGTATTATTAGCACTACCACCCTCACTGGTTGCCGAGGAATCTGAATCCTGGAACATGTAATAAGACTCGCTTTCTTCTCTTTTTCTTTCCGATGTCTGTGATAGGAGGCAGCTTTTGGATATACTGTACTTCCAGGGCCCAAAAGTAAAAACTTCACAGTTTTGTTGGTAGTAATTTCGCATTTTTGTTGTTAAAAAGGTTTCTGTTAACCACATTATTTAAAAAAATGTCACACTTACGCACTGGTAGTTTTTTAGAAAAAATATTGAAAATTTTTACTTTTCTTATCAAGTGGTGATACCTACTTCACACTAGGTTAGGTTAGGTTAGTGTTGTGACCATAACGCGCGAGCCGAGCGAGCAAAGCGAGCCGAGCGAGCAAAGCGAGCGTGCCGCGGCAGCGGCCGGCGAAGCGCCAGAAAAAAAAATCTGTTAAAAAGACCTTTTTTACAAAAAAAAACAAGTATCACCTTTTGGGCCCTGGAAGTACAGTTTTACCAGCTTTTTAAATTTTCATTTATAAATTTCCTGACTTCTTGGATAAACAGCAGCCTAAGATGCTCCTTCTTATTTTTAGGCACCCACTTTAATTTGAAAAATGGATACGATATTGCTGCCAGAATACTGTCCTTGGATCTTGGGTTATCTAAATCAATCATATCATAACCGTTTCAGTATTATAGAAATAATAACAACACTTCAATATCAGAAAAGTAGGTAATCAAATCAGTAACTACTTCACTAGCACCAGAAAATAATAAACTCGTCGTGAAATCAAATCACAGGAGAGTTACCAAGAAGACTAAAGTCAGATTGATGAAATGCCTTGTGTTTCCAATCTTTCTTTATGGAGCCGAAACTTGGTCTTTGAGACTGCAGGATCGCCGTAAAATCGATGCATTAGAGATGTGGTGCTGGAGACGCCTCCTAAAGATCCCGTGGACGGCATTTCGTACCAATATATCCATCCTCAAAGAGCTTCGTGTTAAAGACAGACTCTCGTCAACTGTGCAACTACGAATACTGAAGTTCTTTGGTCACATCTCTAGAAATGAGAATTCGGTGGAAAGGCTGGTGGTTCAAGGCCAGGTGGAAGGCAAGAGAGCACGCGGTCGATCACCAACCCGCTGGATAGACGCCATCACAAAGGCTACTGAGTCTACCATGGTCCAGTGTACTCGCGACGCCTCGAACCGTCAGAAATGGAAGCACATCGCCAGGAGAGCTACCCTCGGCATTGATAGCGACCCAAAGAACACCCCACCATGTACCTCATCAGTGCAACCACGACCACTCTGACAAGAGTGCCCGACTAAGAAGAAGAAGAAATCAAATCGTCGGTGTCAACGGCTATGCGTTTCATATCCATAAATTCAAAGCCATAGATAATGTTCGCCGTTTTCGTTGGAAATTGACACTTGTCAGACATTACTTGACATAAGGCGCGCACTTTGACCAAAGAAGAAAAAAATGTCGCGCATGGTTAGCAGGCGCCTCTATCGGTCGAATTCGGCAATACAAGCGTTTTGTTTTGTTTGACTGGTAATGTTGGCTAAACTTAATCACAAAGTATTTTGCACTTTGAAATTAATATTAAAAATACAAAATGCATCTCGAAAGGCATTTCAAATAAAATACAAAATACTTTTCACTGAAAGGTATTTAAATACAAAATATAAAATAGGTATTTTGCATTTTCTATTTGCATTTAAAATAGAAGTATTTCAAATAAATCACATCTCTGTTCCCCAGACGGGTCCTACTCCAATTCGAGCTGGAAATCCGTTATGCCATACCTCTCTGACTTCTTCGGGTTTGTGATTATATGATCTACATTGATACACAGACCAACATGAATGTTAGTCTCTATAACGGCACAATGACATTATCCATTCATTGCGGTCGGCCGTTCAGCAGAATCATCTCCAATAATCCGTGACCGGAGACCTGATTTATTGATGGTCGTCACACCTGTGCAATCTGCACAGCTGCTCACCTGCTGATTTAATTTGATGATGTCAGTTCTATCATGATATCTATTTGTTTTGAATAATCACAAAATATTTATACTATTCATTTTTCCGCTACATTATGCACAAAAACCTTGAATACCTATCGTGTACGTCGAGAAAATAGTCGGTTTTGTAGATTTCAGTCAATGAATAGAGGGACAAATGTTAGTAATGACGACTAATCGTACGCATCGTATAGAAACAGAATTTTCAACATATTGTCATCGATGATATTTTCCTACTCTTTTACAAATTGTAAGTGTTTAATCTGAAGTTTTCATCATGAATATAAATTTTCTTGTAGGCATGCCTTAATAATTAAGTAAGAAAAAATATGTTTGCATATAGAAATATCTTACAAATTTTCTGCTCTTCATAATTTACTACGATCATAACTAAAAGCTGAAAGATTTTTATACTAACATTTAGAAATAACATATGCCAATCACATGCGCAATACCAACTTATTAGACTGACAAATATAGATTTGACATACTTTATTATTTCTGCTAATAAGGTTATTTGTTTGAGTTACCTAGTTGACATCTGTAGTTACATACATTTTCTACGAGAACAGTAGGTACCCATTGAACGATCCAATCCAACATCGGGCATGGCCTTATGTAGCGCACAATGTTCTTTTGACCACAGGTCGGCCATATGTTCGCCGCATGCGCATCTATTTGCATATGACAAGCACCGCATGCCCGCTGGCGCCTAATGATATCACTATTTACCTTGTATGTGTCAAATAAAACGCTCCCAGCGCTAATTGACGCTTTAAAATGTTTTTTGTTTTTCCAAAACATGCCTACGTATGTATTGCTATTAGAAATCCAGGTCATCGAGAAACAACTGGCCGATTTATTTTTACTTTTTCCACTCAAGGTTCTTTTAAGAATCTTAGACATATGGTGCTCACTAGAGTTTTGATTTCATTGCCACCAACTACAACACAATAACGTGAACTGCAATTATCCAATTTTATGTTTAACATTATTCACGCAACTATTTAAGCTGACAACTTTTTGCCTAATTACCTTCACGATGTTTTGTAACGATGATTTGCAAATTACAATAAATTATTTCCAGTCCACATGTATCATCAGAACCCACGAATCCGTCTACGTCAGGCCTTCAGTCGAACGAGCAAAATATACACAGTATGAGAAAGAATGAAGATGATACCGCCAAAGATAACAATGAAGGTTCCATTACCGATTGGGTGTCGGGAGGGCCTGTTGGTTCCAAAGCGGCAGTGCTGGTGTTCCGATCGTGCGTGCTCGCGTCGCGGACGCCGTCCATGGAGTCGGCGACGAAAACGATAGGCAACAACACGGGGACCACCATATTGTTGAACAAGGCCAAGAATATGGCGAGGAGATTGGTAGCGGAGCCGCATTCTTTCAGCGTGCGCCCGAAAAATATAATGCACGATGTGATGGAGACGTTCGGGAACAGCAACAAGTATACAGGTCAAGCGTACGTGGTGCGACACGTCAGTGAAACCGATGTCCCGGAGGCGGTGCCCGTGGATGAGCAGGGCCATGAGCCAGCGGAACATAAGAGGGACATCGAGGATGTTCTGAACGACCTCAGCAAGATCACATTGAAGAAGAATCTGAATGTGGAAAATACTACAGCCAATATCAAACCGCCGGAAGAACCACCACCGCCCAAAGGTTCGTCAACCTAATTTAAACCAATTATAAGAAAAGCGTTATATGTATGAAGTCTTGTCTTTCTTGCGTACAGAGTGCCTATTCTGTTTGCAGACTTTTTTTCTTTAAATAATTTAGAATAAAATTTATTCGTAAATTTTTGTATTGGACAAAATATCATGCAATGTACTTACAGATATAAATGTAATATTGTATATTTTTTTTGCAGATGCCAAAGATGATAGGAAAAGTAAAAAGACGAAATGTAAAAACAAGAAAAAGAACACACAGATACAGAGGACGCTCTCGCCGGCGCTGGACAGCGACGACTCGGAACACCTGCTGGTGAAAGAGGTCGATAATGTAAAGGTAAATATTTTGTCCTCCACCAATCGCCTTACCTACCTTAATGGTGTATGAATAGTAATATTAGTTTGGAATATACTATTATGTAGTACTAGCTGACCCAACTTCGTATCGCCATAAAAATATGGGTGAAAATTAAGGGTTGTTTGTGTTTTTAATATTACGATACATATTTAACGTAGTTTTTTTTTCTTCAGACGATTTAAAATTATTCTGAACACAAAATCGGTTATTGTGATTAAACCATGATAGCTAGATGTTCTCGCGGACTTTTTTGTAGGTCTTAATGGGATCTACAAACCCGTAGTACATCATTTTGTTCTATTGTCAATAGTTTTTGCAGCGCATGGAAAAATAGGTTTTCGATTTTACACCTTGTGTTACAAAATAGCAATTTTATTACGGATCCCTAATTTTGAAAAAAAAATATAGCCTATAGCCTTCCTCGATAAATGGACTACCCAACACTGAAAGAATCATTCAAATCGGACCAGTAGTTATCATTAGCGCGTTCAAACAAACAAACAAACTCTGCAGCTTTATAATATTAGTATAGATATGGGCCAAGACTTGATCCATATGAAATCAACCTATTTTAAGAGATATGTACTCAATTAACTCCATTCAACGACGACACCAAATTTGTCGTCGTCACTGGTTTCGCCAAACAATTCTCACAGGACAATGTATTTTGGTGAATTACAATCTTATCCGAGAAGATGAGAATGACAGTACCTAGCGTCTGTGATCGAGTGTGCGCGGAAACCGAGTAAGAAACCCCATCGCAGCTTGATCTCTTTGCACCAGTGGTTATCAAATAAAATGTATGACAATTTTGGTCCACAACCTATGGTGCCCACCGGAAGTATTGCTCTTGGCGCCACAGCCACAAGTGACCCAGTGTGCGAAAGCACTTTAGCATACTTGTCACTTTTCTAAAAATCCCTTATCCTCCACAGGTTTTAGATAGTAATCAAATGCCAGCGCGCGTTCTGAAGATCACCTACAAGCTGGTGAACACTGAGACGAAGCTGCTGCACCGTTTGCTTCAAGCCCACGGGCTGGTTGAGGCCGGGACTGATGATAAGCACTTCAATCTGATGTGGTCCGGCCTCCATCCCAAACCAGATGTGCTTAGAGCACTCTCGCCGTACCAGAGGGTCAATCATTTCCCCAGGTTAGAAATACAATAATTACAGTACGTTTTCAGCTAGCGTTCTGTACTCCAAGCACGAACAACTAGCGAGAAAGTATTCGTATCGCCTGATTGGGGTGCTGATGGGCATCTGCAGTGGTCCAAGGCCGAAGTAATTAGGAATCCGCCGTCGTATCAAGGTAAGATAAACTACTTTTTTAGTATGCTGCCAGTCCCCATTTTAATGGTCATCTGCTCTGGTACAGTCTCCATCCTAAGCGTGACATTCTCAGAGTTAATTCGCCTACCTTAAAAACAACAATTTCAGTCTTTAGCCTAACCGAAAATAATTACATCAAAAGCGTGGTAAAAACTGCCTCACGCAAACTCGGAGTCCTGAACAATGTGTGGCGTTTTTTCACGCTCGAGGAACTGTGCTTGTTGTACAAGACGCAAGTGCGGTCTTGCATGGAACATTGCTTGCACCTCTGGGATGGCCCTGCCATGTACTTGCTCGATGCTTTGGATAGGTTACAGCGGTGCGCGATCCGCATCATAGGCGAAGAGGAGGTGACTAAGCACCTCGAGACTTCAATTACGCCGTGACGTGGCGTCATTAAGCGCTTTCTATCGTCTGTACAGTCGCCATCAGATATATCTGAGCATACAAGATGACCAAATACATCTGAACAGTTAAAATGTCAATAAGTTCTATACACTACAAGTGACCATTAATATCTGATCATTCATTACTTCAATAATATCTGAGCAGATGCCTGTCAATAATATCTGAACATACAACTTTTCAAAAATATCTGAACAATTTTAATAGGACCTCTTAATTATTTATTTATAATAAGATGACGCTGGCAGTTAAACACTTTCCAGTTTTTATTCTTATCACCTCTGTCATGTGTCATGCACAAATAAATTCAAGCAGCTTGCTTACGTATTAGTTCATACCATAAATTAACTATAATTAATATGAGTTCGTACCGTATTGATGCGGAAATGAAACATAAAATAATACAACTAAAAAATGATGGTTTATCCGTAAAAGATATCGCCGATGAGCTAGGGATAGCCGTAAGTATCACGGAGAAAAATGCTAAAAATCAATTGCCCACAAAACATGAAACTTTATTCACAAAGTATAAAATTGTATTTATTTCAGAGAAATACTGTATATTTATGGCTAGAAAGATGGCAGCAAGGAGAAACATTAAATAATCATGTTTCATTTGGTCGCCCGCGTATTACTACAAATAACCAAGACATAGCTATTATAGATAAAGCCAAAAATGACAGATTTATAAACACTACACAATTTTCAAGCACATTCGAAATATCCACTAGCACCATTAGAAGACGATTAAAAGAAGGAGGTTTAAAAAATAGAGTACCGGCAAAAAAACCAACTCTCACGCCAAGGCACAAAATGCAGCGGCTACAATTTGCAGCTAATTATTTAAATTTTAATTTTCAAAACGTTATTTTCATGGACGAAAAGGTTCTCTGCTCATCAGATAATGGGCGATTAAGTTTGTGGCGACCCGAAAACACATGTTACTTAGAACAAAATGTGCTGCCTAATCGCCGGAGTGGACGTATTTCAATTGGATTTTGGGGATGGATGTGCAAAGATGGTCCTGGTGAGCTTGTGGAAATAAGTGGACGAATGAATGCAATGAATTATAAGGAACTTCTGGAAGATACTTTTCTTCCTACAGCTCAAGTTTTTTATCCAGAACAACAAATGACATTCCTTCAAGACAACAGCTCAGTACATAATGCTCGTACAGTACAGACATGGATTAATGAACAGAGAGAACTAACTTTAATCAAACTACCACCAAAAAGTCCAGACCTCAATCCCATCGAAAACCTTTGGGGTAAAATGGTGCAAGAGTGGGATGGGAATCAATGTCGAACAACAGAAGCCTTAAGGCGACATGCAAATGATGTTTGGGAATCGTTCAGAGGTCGAGGTTTTTGTGAGAAGGTAGTTGGTTCCATGAGGAAACGTTTACAAGACGTATTAAATGCAGAAGGAGGTTACACAAAATACTAATGTTTCATGAGAAGTATATAATTGGTCAGCCTTTAAATAATTTGGTCGGCACAAAAAGATTTTGTAAGCAATTTAAAAAATCAGGCAGCAATCCTTGTTCGGCAAATAATTATATAATGGTCAAAAATTTAATATGAGAGTATACAAGATGGCTCATTTAAATGGGTCAGTATGGGAAAGTTTGAACTATAATATATACGAAGATCTGTTCTTAGGAACTATGTCATCGATTTTAATAAAAATTAAAACTGCATTCATACATTTAAGAAAAACCCTGTGGTCAGCTGGGGAATCGAACCCGGTCGTTTTGAAAAAAAAACTAACACTATTTCCTATTTCTATTTATTAGTAAGATAAGTTACCTATACGTGTTAAACGGTGGTCACTTAGAACCTCTACTGAAATAATTTAAATTATGTGACAAAAATGCATTTTACGCATTTGAGACATCACGTTTAATAGAAACATTTACTGCTTCAGACCTACATAATCGATATTTAAATAGAAATAGTGTAAGTTTTTTTTTCAAAACGACCGGATTTGATTCCCATGCTGATCACAGGGTTTTTCTTAAATGTATGAATGCAGTTTTTATTTTTATTAAAATCTTGTTCCCAAGAACAGATCTTCATATATATTATAGTTTCAGACTTTCCCATCCTGACCCATTTCAATAAGCCAACCTGTATAATGAGAGTGGAGGGTTACCCGGGGAGAGGAAACCGAAGAAAAAAAGATGGATAGATTGTGTGAATGAGGACATGGCCAGTAAGGGAGTGAGTGTTGATATTGCGAGTGATAGAGGAGAATGGAAGCGGAAGACATGTTGCGTCGACCACATATAGAATTGGGAAAAGGGCATGCAAATGATGATGGTCAAAAATGAAATCATAAAAAGGCAGCTTACAATAACATGGATCTGCAAGATTTCATAATTCGTGTCTGTACTGTAGATTGGTTAGCAGGAGAAAACATGTCTATAAGCAGTATATTTGAATAGTATGCATATTTAAAAACCAGTCAAGTGCGAATCGGACTCGCGCACGAAGGGTTCCGTACCATTATCTAAATAAATATTTTTATATTGAATTAAATGTAAATTGCGGTAATTGCTTGATCTCGTTCAAATCAACTTTTGCTAGAAGTTTGCATGGTAATGTACAGACACGAGCTTTCATCTGGGCCCCACCTTTGAATATCGTGTAGCAATCTGCTGCAAGCTGTATAAAGCTAATATTTTAATGCAACGTCAATGTCATAATGTTTACCATTGACAACTTTACGTTACTAGGGGCAACCATGCAATTACGTCATCTGAAGCGACAGCAAAAGATCATTTCCGATGTTATGTTATGTTCCGTTTCCGAATTATACTTTGTAAAAATGTCACATTAAACTGTTTTTTCAATGACACTGACACGAAATAGTATTTTATAAAGAGGTTATCATTTCAAGGGTCGATTCATTATGACATTATGTCATCAAAACACTATCAAACTAAAATTTCGACCTTATTGCATTATGAATTCTAACAACATTTAGTGGAAATGGGTCCCATATTTAATTTATAGACCTATCAATTTTATAGACCTATCCATACCCCACACGTAAAGATTTGATAAAAAAAAATCTAAGTCCATTCGTTTTTTTTTCTATTTTTGTATGAATATCGTTTTTTTGCCATTTGGCTACGGAACCCTAAAAATGGTGAGCAAAATAACTAATTGGTCTGCGTTTTTGTTGAAAATTCGACAATATACGTTACGGCCGTCTACGTCTGTTAGAAATTCCCGTCTAAACGGGCATTGATAATATTGGGAAATTATTAAGCTAATAATAATACGCTAATTTCAAGAACCTTACTAATTGCCTGATAACTTTTTGATTTGATCTCATGTATAATTATAACAATAAAACATTTTGTTACTATTTAATTTTAAACTCATTGTATCAGAAGTTGCTTTTTTTTATTTCGATCTCGATTATAATTTTATTATAATAATAAATACTTAAGCTTGAGCATCTACTGAGGTAGTGTACCAAGTTAATTCGTTTACATTTTTGATTATTTAACTCAATAAAAATTTATAAGAATTAAATTTGTTTTTTATTAATTTTCACTTTTATAAATAATACATACCCAAACCAAACAAACACATCCACTCAGACAGTAAATAAAATTTTTGTAAGGATGGCGCCCAGTTTGAGCATGACAAGTACAGAATTCCATTTTCCACTGCAATGGAAATAGTGGGACAAATGTTTCCTCCAAATTATTACTTATTTCTATTGCGGTTAAAAAACGCAGTTGTCTTATTTTTAACCCGGCGTTCGCACAGTTGGGTCTATTTGACCCGAGCAGTTTTCAAATGAGCGTGTTTCTTAAAATGTTTGTGCGACTTTGCCAAACTTCTCAGTAGCTGGAGCTAATGGTCCCCCCCTCCACGTGGGATTTGCCAATCAGTCGTGTTGCGGCCGCAGCGAGTGATAGACACGGCCAAACACGAAAGAGGTAAATATGACCCAACCATACTATTCGTGTCGTAATTTTGCGCCGTTTAAAAAAATGTTTTATTGTTGTTTTATATTGTTTATTTTGTTATTTTTGGCAAATATGTCTGAAATAAATGCGTACATATTACATAACGCCAATTTCTAAAGAAACTTAAGCCTTATACTGGTTCGTGAGCATTTGCGCAATCGTAAAGATGTCATTCAGTTGCTAAGACTTATACGCAAAAGAATAAGAGAGTTTTTAGGAGTAGGTACCTGATGAGGAGCCACCTGTGAAGATACTTTATGTAAGAAAGAGATGCCAAGACTGTTCTGCCAAAAAAGATAGAAAACTAATAATTTTCGGAGCTGTATATGCAAATACATCTGCAGTGACCATGCAATGTTGTACTGCCGAGATTGCGCAGATGATAAGGATACTATGACTGACGTATGAGACTGATACAAATAGTATAATATTATTAGTTTACTAAAGATTTGATTAACATGTAACAAATTAGTTTATGTTAATATAAAAAAAAATGTTTTGTTAAAATTTTATTACTTTAAGACAGAGGTTGTCCATTTTGTTAATATTTTGTGACACTTTTATGAAAATGACATTAAAAAGATAGTTTCGTATCATGTTGTGTTTTTTTCTACTCAAAACCTTTAACGATAATCGTTTTATACAGATAGTACAACCACATACCAAATTTATTTTAACTTTTGTAATTATGGCGTTTTCTTATACGGGTCCTCTCGACCCAACCCTACTGTCGTTGATGCATATTTTGACTGTGCTGACGCCGGGTTAAATAAATTTCTAAGGAGATATTGAGAATTTAATCTATAGAATAAAATAAAAACATAACTTCTCGTTAATTATAAAAAATAAATAGAGAAAAAATTATGCATCTTCCATTTCTACTACTCGTGGTGACCTACACGAATGATTTTCTGATAGATTTTTATTCCCTTCTCATCGTATTTATTCCTTATATTTAGCCTTTGTTTTTAGTTCATCCTTTCAATCACGTAGTAACAAAATATGTAAGCCCTGTGCATGATCTGCGTAGATACATAATCATTGACGTGTTCAGATATTATTGAAAAGTTGTATGTTCAGATATTATTGACAGGCATCTGCTCAGATATTATTGAAGTAATGAATGTTCAGATATTTATGGTCACTTGTAGCGTATAGAACTTAATGACATTTTAACTGTTCAGATGTATTTGGTCACCTTGTATGCTCAGATATATCTGATGGCGACTGTACCACGGCGACTGTTCTTAGGAGTTTTCTCTCTTATTCCACCTTCCTCTTTCCTTTAGAGGACCACGCGCGCTGGCCAACGTTGTCACCATCTAACTGTGGCTACTATTCTGACGCGTACAAAGAAATTTGGTGAATCATTTCTTTGTCGCACTATCCGTAAATGGAATGCTCTGACCGCTCACGCGCTCCCTCCCTCTTACAATCTGGGATCCTTTAAAAGAGGTGTGAAGAAGCAACATGCAGACTGGCAGGGTGAGGATGGCTGGTGTGACAGGTAAAACTGCTGTACCAGCTATCTTCGCGTCTAAATCTCACCGTAACTTTACATCAGGTGGAGTGGAGTCATTTGTCGGATATATCTATAAAAAAACGCGTTCTGGTGATCATTCAGCTGCACTATGCAGTGGTCCATCCTCGCATCCGAAGTCCGATGTGCTCAGCCTACAAAAACACTAATTTCAGCAGTAATTTGAATCGACACACGTGATACGACTCAGGTAAATGTGGGTAATTTGACATGTCTAGACAATAATTGATAGAGTTGATGGTGAGGAAGATGCAAAATCATATTCAATTTGTCCTTGAATAATCTTTGCGACCAAAAAGACTGGTTCTTATATCTCATGATTCTCAATATTTAAATTCAATGTGTATGTGTCAGTGTTTGACATTTTATTTCCCATAATGCTGGCACTTCACTTGGCTATTCAAGTTTGTTATTTGTAAACTTGACACCAATCTGTGCTTTTCATTTCTTATAAAAAAAAACTGTCTATTCTGTTACAAGCACTTGTGAATGTCGAAATGCTATGCCATCGCAAATCTACGGTGGGAGACCTTGTACTGAGAAGAACTGACAAGGAACTCAGCAAGGGCGGTTTTTTGTTCCTCGTATTATATACAGAGTAGACAAATTGAACAATGACTTCAATATGAAATAACTCATGAAGTCACTTTCCATTACAAATGTGAGTGATATAAAAATAATGACTATAAACATATACAATAAATAGATAAAAAAAACTGATTTAACAAAGTTTAGGAATGCCGTTTCCTACTGATTAAGCGCAAAAAAATCTACGATTAAAGTTAAATACAACGGTTAATCGTACCCAATGTAGCAAGAGCAGACTCATCATCGCTGGCAGCACCCGTTCACGAGCATGACGCATGTACCATCCATCGCTTCGCTCAACAATTTTTTAGGGAACGCAACGACCCGCCTAACACCACACATGATATAAAGCATGATAAGGACAGATTGTTGTCAAGTTTACAAATAGCAAATAAACCGAGACTAAGTTCCGGTTGCGACAAATTCCAATGTTGTCATTTTTTACTTTACACTTTATGGGGTGCAGTGGTGTAGTGTGGCTAGGCGCACCTTTATAAAGCACACTGAATTTTATTATATGTTTTTGTATTGTGTTTGTGTAAATTTGTTTATTCTGTACTTATGTGTTACTATATGTTTATATATATTTATATATAAATGCACTATTTTTATTTATTGTTTTGTGGGATGCACTTCGCATGGTTGTTTTGGTTGGTTTTAACGACCTCGCCCAAGTCCTATCTGTCAGAATACCAGCGCCGATACAGTGAGAAAGTACTTTCTCTAACTCATAAGCTGAGGCAGGGTCCTGATTGGCCATTAAAGATTTTTTTGTTCGTTAGGTTAAGTTTTCTTGTATTTTATTTTTTAATTTTATAAGTTTTTCTTTTGTTAAGATGGCCAATAAAAAGTGTTCATTTCATTTCAAATACGAATAGCCAAGTGAAGTGCTGACATATGGAACAAAAACTTATCTGCGATAGTTGCTTACGAAACGATCATGTTATATTTATACTCATTAAAGTTTACAATTTGAAGTTTAAAAAACGATCAAGGTTGTTTTTTTATGGCAGCTGTCTCTCGCTCGTCGTGCTTCAGGGAAACATTGTGTCGCTGACTCAGTGTCCTATTGTGTTTTTGTACTGTAATCAACGGGGTTCATGAACGTAAGACTAATTTAGTGATGGATGATTCATACGTTACTTATAAAAACTGTATAGCAATCCCTATCTTCGTTCAAGATTTAGCATCAGTCTTGTAATACGACTATTTTTAGTACCGTAACATAGTTATACGAAAGCGATTCATGGTGATTATCCGGTAAAATGATTATCTGACTAAACTAATCTAGTTAAATAGTTATAAGTTACCATGGAATCAAATAAAACATTATATTGGTTTTTATTGAAAAATCAACTTTTTGTAACCTGCAGTTCTAATACTTTTTAGAAAAAAAATATTAAAAAAAATTCATTTGATCGACTTTGTATTTTTTTATTATTTTGCATTAACAATACAAATTCGAAAAATGATTAACTACAAAATTTGATGTTTGTAAAATACTTAAAAGTAATCAACAGTTTTGAGACTTTTTGTACTGACAAGACCCGGAATCATGAGTTCTACACTCCTACAATTATTTCACTGAACTGAATCAAGTAATATAATAATATCACTAGACTTGAACCGTTTTATAATTATATTCCTAGTAAGATAACCATGAATCGCTTTCGTATTACTATATTATGGTATATAATCATATCCCCAGTCATATTGCGGATTTATCTATCTTACTGCGACATATATATCTTCACATCTCTATCAGGTCTTACGAGCTGACCCGCAAAGATAAACTGTTCAAGAACATAGAGAAGATGCAATACTTCCGCGGCTTGAAGCACTTCGACTTCATCCCCACCACTTTTCTTATGCCGGCGGAGTACAAAGAGCTATGCTCCACCCACTACAGAACCAAAGGGCCGTGGATCGTGAAACCAGCCGCGTCCAGCCGGGGCCGGGGCATTTATATAGTCAACACGGTATGTTTCATATAGTGTTGACAAGGACCACTGTAAGTCCTTTTCTATAAAAAATACTGTACCTTCTACCTAACTCTTAATTGCTGTAATCGTCCTGCCCCCCTAGATTATGCTTATGACCTACTAGCTGTGCCCCGCGGTGTTACCAGCGGTTTATTAAGGATATTTTCCCGCTGTAAAACTTAGTCTATGTGTTAATCCAGGGTGTCACCTACCTCCATACCAAATTTTATTTGAATTGCTCCAGCCGTTTAGACGTGAAGAAGTAACAAACATACACACTCACAAACTTTCGCCTTTATAATATTAGTGATTAGTGACTATAAGTCCCTCTAACACGAGCACATTAATAAAATATACACTTATAACGTTTCTGTCATGGATCAAACAAATACTGTTGTATTTTGACAAATAAGCCTAATAAAAGTGTGTTTATGTTCTATCGCAGAGATAGTACTTATTTTCTAACAGAGTTCAGTTCCCGTAGCATGATCATCATAATTTATATTATATCATTTTTTAATAGTGTTTAGCCAACGATATTTAATACCCTAGATACACCAACACGAACAAAATCATGCCCGAAACCTGTCCAAAAGGTACATTGGACGATCCACGGACCTCCGTAAGATAATCGCATAGTCTAAACAATATAAGTCGTTATTTAAACATTGAAAATCACCTTTAAAGCACACTATATAAGGTCTTAATCAAAGCGCATGCGTCAAAGAGTTATGACAGTCCGAGATGTAAAATTCTCTTAAAATTTTACGACTTTACGCTATATGCGGAAGAATATAGATTTTATTTCTTTGACTCTACGTGCAATTCTGAATGCGCTGTTAGCAATACAGCAGGTACGGACCGCGAGGAATGAGACGTCTATATTACCGACCATGCCTTTGAATATCACAAATATTTTCTATTAATGGTTTAATAGAAAATATTTGTGATATTCTATAAACTGGTGTTTATAGTAAGTATTAAAACAAAATTTGCTTCAAAGGCGTTAGATTAACAAACATTAATGAGATATCTGTCGAAAAAACGACATTTTACAAACTATAAGTATTCATTTCGCATTTTGTCACGGAGCTCAGCGGCATATTGACTTTTCAACGGTCCGCGTGTGACTGTGAACCAAGAAGTGCTTGAGTCGTGTTCAAGCACTTCTTGATAGGGACACATTTTGAGCGCACGTGGTGTATCTAGGGTATTTAATATCGTTGTGTTAAACTGTCAAACTCCATAGTAATTTGACAATTGAGCGTGATAAAAACGGTCTGTAAATAAATCATATCGCGGTGCTCATGCTAGGAGGCAAGTTTAATAAATAATACAAGTTATTATTTTAACACATACATACATATCACCCATTTACACTCTAACTAAAGAGAATTACGCAAGGCTAAGCTGTGCACAGTAAGCATTCTTTGTCTTCCATGTGACAGAAATTAAAAAAATAACAATTATATTTCACAGCCGGAACAGATACCGAAAGGCGAGAACGTAGTAGTAGCCAAATACATAGACAAGCCCCTCCTGATAGGCGGCCACAAATGCGACTTGCGCCTTTACGTGTGCGTCACTTCAATAGACCCTTTGCTGGTATATTTATACGAAGAAGGGCTCGTGAGATTCGCCACAGTTAAATATGATAAGACCAACAAGAACCTATGGAACCCTTGCATGCATCTCTGCAACTACAGCATCAACAAGTATCACACGGACTACATCAAGTGAGTTTGGGAAAAAAAACTTGTAGATGAATATTATTTATCCGCCCTGGCTGAAAGTTTAAACATTGAAAACGTTTTTGATGCTCAGAATAATATATTTTATCCAATTCTTTCTCATGGAATGAATTTGAAAAAATGTCATCATCATCATTATCAGCCTATTAATGTCCCAACCACAGAACACAGAAAGAGGTTAGAAGGGCCTTGTGGGCGTGGCAGGCGCGCCGCAGTTATGTGTGAGCAAATGCTCATAACTTGACTAACTCTTGGTTCTGATTGCATCGTTGCTCTCGGGAGTGAGCGCTGATTGGTTCGGTTGTTTGATGTCGCGTCGTTTGATTCGCTATTATCTATTAGGTGGAAGTGTAGTGGGGGCGAGCCGACGACATCGGTTACCGTACAAACGGTGTAATGATCACCCTTCTAACCTCTTTCTGTGTTCTGTGGTCCCAACTGCCGGGGCACAGGCTTTCCCTATGGATGGAATAGGGAGATTGGGCCTCCACGCCTTAACGTGCCTTCCGAAGAACGGAGGAGCTGGAGATAGTAAATTTTTGGTCACCCATCCAATGACCGACCACTGCGAAAGTTGCTTAATACAACGATCGTAGCCGAATGTGCCAACCACTTGCGCCATCGAGCTCCTCTGAAACAATGTATTAAATTATTATTAATACTGTAAATAATGTTCGTCATGATTTTTTCGTTGTGTGTACTCTGTATAAGTATATACTATACTAGCAAACCAGTGAACCAAATGTTCACCAAAACCTGATTTAAAAAAAAAATGTATTTAATTAATTGAGAACTTCGGAGATTTTGTGTGGTTTCGTTTGAAATTCGTGATTTCTCGAAAACCGGAAGTGCTACGTTACTCAAATCCGGTTTGTAGTCTTATCAGACTATTCTTAACTTATAACTTAAATATTCTCTTTATCTATCTCTTACGGTTTGGCCGCTGAAACAGCACCACAGACAGACAGACGGACGGACTTGTCTAATAGATAAGAGATATTGCATTTGCACACTGCTCTGTAACACATAATAAATTACAAAGAGATATAATATAATATCAGCGAAGGGTGCGGGTTCGAGTCCCGTAGGCTGCCTGGTGCGCGTGGATTTTTTTCTAGAAATATTTTCTTTAGATTTAAACATCGAGCAGTTACATGCTTAAAAAATAAAAATTATAACTATAATTGCTATCTCTTCTTTCAAATGTTGCGAAGAGATGGCGCTGTCTTGCAGCATAAAAATGGCTAGAGGAATTTCGACGCGGCCATCTTCTAGTTATGTTTTCTTTAGATTTAAGTAGATCATTTTTATGTTTTTGCCACATCATTTGATTTTGACTACAAATCTGGCAACACGTCCATACATACAGATGCGACGACCCGAACGCTGGCAACATCGGCCACAAGTGGACACTGTCCGCCTTATTACGTCATCTCCGCAAGCAGGGGCGTAATACAACAGCCCTAATGGCCGCCATTGAAGACTTAGTGGTGAAGTCCATACTTTCTTCAGCTCAAACCATTACTGCGGCCGCTAGGGTGTTCGTGCCAAACTTTTTCAACTGCTTTGGTAAGTAATTTACAACACTCACACCAATAAGCCTAGCCCCAAAGTAAGCACTGTAAGGCTTGTGTTATGGGATACTAGGGTAACAGATATAATACATATACTGTACATATATAAGTATATTTATACAGAAATACATATTAAACATCCATGACTGGAGGACAAATGCTCGTATTCATCACACAAACATTTCATCGAGATTCGAACCCGGGACCTCTCGAGTCGGCGACACCATGAAACCCGGCGTATCAAACACTCTGTGACGGAGGTCGTCCTTAAATTAAAGATAAGCTTTTGAGATGATAATTTTTTTATCCAAATTGTAATCCGAAGTATAAAACAACTTGTTTTGAATATTCTTACCATATTTCAGTATTTTTTTAAGCTGTGGAAGAGTTCTTTTTTTTCTTCTGTTCTGTTGTGTCAGAAATTCTTCTATCAAGTAATTTAATTATTGCGTGTGAAGTTTTTCTGTCTAATAGAATCATTGTGTGTGTTTCAAATACCTTGTAGTGTATGAAATGTTAATTTTATTCATTAAAATTTTCTATTAAAAATATTAGCTTTCTGCACACTTTCTCTTAAATTATGCATAAATTTCAAGATCAAGTCTTTTGTCCCGTATTAGTATTAATACTATAAATATAAATTACGATTACGAATTATAAAAAGTTATATGATATTTTTGCAGAACTGTTTGGTTATGACATTCTAGTAGACGACATGCTCAAGCCGTGGTTGCTAGAAATCAATCTGTCGCCAAGGTATGTTAATCAACTTGTTAAAATGAAACTTTTGATTTCATCGCCACAATTTTTTTATTCATATTTCAGCATCATCATCATCAGCCTATTAATGTCCCCACTGCTGGGGCACAGACCTTCCGTATGGATGGAATAGGGAGATTGGGCCATGACCCACCACGCGGGCCCAGTGCGGATTGGCGGGTGCCAACGACTGCAGATGCAGCCGGGATCAACGGCTTGACGTGCCTTCTGAAGCACGGAGGATCTCGAGATAGAAGATTTTTGGTCACCCATCCAATGACCGACCACTGCGAAAGTGGCTTAACTTCAACAATCGCAGCCGAACGCGCTAACCACTTGCGCTATCGAGCTCCTCATTCATATTTAACATGTTGCATTTATTTTTAACTGTTATTTACAAATTCCGACCTTGTCAACAACTCGACTGCTGCGCCTTGCTGGCTGATACCCTCACCCTGGAGCCCATTCATGGTTTAGTGATAGACAGCTCGACTGCTTCGCCATGCTGGCTGATACCCTCACCCTGGAGCCCATTCATGGTTTAGTGGTAGACAGCTCGACTGCTACGCCTTGCTGGCCGATACCCTCACCCTAGAACCCATTCATGGTTTAGTGATAGACAGCTCGACTGCTACGCCTTGCTGGCTGATACCCTCACCCTGGAGCCCATTCATGGTTAAGTGATGGACAGCTCGACTGCTACGCCTTGCTGGCTGATACCCTCACCCTGGAGCCCATTCATGGTTTAGTGATAGACAGCTCGACTGCTTCGCCATGCTGGCTGATACCCTCACCCTGGAGCCCATTCATGGTTTACTGGTAGACAGCTCGACTGCTACGCCTTGCTGGCCGATACCCTCACCCTAGAACCCATTCATGGTTTAGTGATAGACAGCTCGACTGCTACGCCTTGCTGGCTGATACCCTCACCCTGGAGCCCATTCATGGTTAAGTGATGGACAGCTCGACTGCTACGCCTTGCTGGCTGATACCCTCACCCTGGAGCCCATTCATGGTTTAGTGGTAGACAGCTCGACTGCTACGCCTTGCTGGCCGATACCCTCACCCTAGAACCCATTCATGGTTTAGTGATAGACAGCTCGACTGCTACGCCTTGCTGGCTGATACCCTCACCCTGGAGCCCATTCATGGTTTAGTGATAGACAGCTCGACTGCTACGCCTTGCTAGCTGATATCCTCACCCTGGAGTCTATTCATGGTTAAGTGATAGACAGCTCGAATGCTACGCCTTGCTAGCTGATACCCTCACCCTGGAGCCCGTTCATGGTTTAGTGATAGACAGATTGACTGCTTAACCCTGAAGCCTATTCTCCAAACATTGTTATATAGAAGTGGGGATATTAATATGGCGATGATGATAATGAAACGTATAATTATATATACGTATAGTCTGGCATGTGAGAGTCCATTAGATGCCTGCGTGAAATCCGCAATTGTTGGCGGACTCCCTCATCCTGGTGCCCATTTTCTCAACATTATTCTATCTTTGAGCCAGAGAATTAGAGTCCAGGTATTGGGGATAGTAGGCCGATGGTGATTAACAAACGTTAAAATGTTCGTTTTGTCGTCAGTCTGGCATTTGATAGTTCATTGGATGCCCTCCTAAAATCTGCCTAGCTAGTGGAAACATTCATCCTGGTGCCCATTCTCTCAACAGTATTCTACCCTGGAGCCAGACAACACTAGTTCTCTGGCCCCGGTACTGGAAATAATAGTAGGCCGATGGTGATTAACAAACGTTTAATTGTCTCGTTTTGTTGTCAGTCTGGCTTGTGAAAGTCCATTGGATGCCCGCGTGAAATCCGCCTTGCTGGCGGACACTCTCACCTTGGTGGGTCTGCCGGCTGTCTGCGCCTCGAGGGATCTCGCCGCGCCCCCACACTCGCTCAAAATGAGGATTGGTGCTGTAAGTATAGCTTTATTCTTATTCATAACCAGCGGCCGCCCGCGACTTCCTCCGCGTTATTTTAAGTTTATTGAAAATCTCTTTTTCGGGAAACACTTTTTCGGGGTAAAAAAAAGTCCTATGTCTCAACCCAAATTATAAAGTATATGTGTACCAAATTTTATCCAAATCCGTTCAGTGGATTAGGCGTGATTTAGCAACAAACATAAAAAACACACAAACATTCACATTTATAATATTAGTAGGATGATATTGATATAATTGTGAATTTCACCTTTTTTTATTTAGTCTTGTAGTAGAAGTGTATTAACCACGTCACATATTAATTTTATTGAAACAATCGAAATTCGTTAATACAAATAACTAATTATGGTCCCAATACCGAACCCTGCGACATACTAGTGCCATTTATAATTTCATTAGATTGAGCTTTTACTTGTGTAGTCTTTTGACAAATTATTGTAGGTATTCTAAGTTAGTTTGTTTTTTATAATATGGCATATCTGATATCATCTCACATTCACATTATCAGACGCTTTTGTCAGATCAGTTTGTACTATGAGGAGTAAAATTCAATGTAAAACTAGTTCCTAAAGTATTGATTTTACCAATAGTAAAGAAGATATATAAAATAAATATTTTAAACTTTAATTTGTATGATCTTTATGTAGAAGACTCGAAATATCTAACTGAAACGACTAAAAATGTCTTTATCAAATTCCTGTTGAAATTCCTAAGCTTATAAGCTATTCAACTTCCATTCTAATATTTCGAATGTAGTCCTAAAAATTTCGTTTATTGTCATTTATGTCTAGTGTCGCCGCGTACACTCTGCCGAGAACGTATTCGTTCGGGGCAAGAACAACAGTAACAGCAACACTAACGGCCAAAGTACTGGAAACGGGACGGGGGGAGGCCTGGGGACTCTCACGGGGGAGGAACTGAGGCTAGTGAGAGCGGTGCGAGCTCAATACGCTCGGAGGGGTGGCTTTGTCAGGATCTTCCCCAGCCAGAACAGCTGGCAGAAATACGCGCAGTACCTGGGTGAGTTATATCTGGTCCAGCTACGGGTTTGAAATCCTCATGGACATCCTACAGTCGGCTGTAGGTTAGACTCTTATTGACCAAACACTGACTTAAACACTCGTGGGCGGATGCCTATGGCCATAACATAATAACAGGCTTCATCTTATGCGATCAACCCATGAGAAAGGGGTGACGCAGCGCTGTCTTAGTAAATACTACTGCATAGTGCGCTTAGAGGACGGGTGCAATCTCATGTGAACCGTATCGGATTGAGACTGAGCGACAGAAGGCCTTTCAGGATCAGGACCTCGGTGAGTTTTATCTGTTGCAATATAGGGCGAGGGGGGGGGGGAGTTGAGGCTCCAGAAGGGGTGGCAGAAGTATGCGCAGTACCAGGGTGAGTAACATATGTTCGGGCCAGTATAGAAGATTTATCTATCTATCTTAATTTCTAAATTAGTTTTAATCTAACGTAGGTAATGGAAACTAATTTATCAGCAACGTCTTTAACGAAACTTATATTACAATGTCGCTTCTGACTGAAATGTCTGAAACTATGGCAACTTTTCTTCTCCATGTGAACTCAATTTACAATCTTTATATATATAATTCTTCTGTGAGTGTGTATGTCACTGAACTTCTCTTAAACGACTGGACCGATTTTTGATGAAATTTTTTGTGTGTGTTCAAGGGGATCTGAGAATGGTTAAGATTCACAATTTTGTCCGCTGGACAATGTTTTTTTAATTAATTTTTAATTTATTAGTAGTTGTTGATTTTGGAATGTTTTACATTGGATCCGACAGACGGCGCTACCATACTAGACAGGACAACGTCTGTCGGGTCCGCTAGTCTATATATAGAGTTTTAGCGAGCTATACGTTTGTCTCGCTAAAACTCTAGACGGCTTAGCCGAATTAACTGATTTTGATTTTTGAAATGTTTGTCGTAGTCTAGGGAAGGTTTATATATATCGCAAGTGTCTATAGGTTATGGTGGCCGCTTACAATTAGGCGGGCCATAAGCTTTGCTTACCATCCTTTTAACATAAAAAAGCGAGTGTGCTTATGACCACACGACTGAAGTGAAACTTCTTTAACTCCAATGATCTGAAAATCATAAACTTAACCTGAAGATTTGTTGATTGAAAAAAAAACCACCAATCCGCGCTGGGTACGTTATCATCCAACAATCCGCGCTGGGTCCGTTATCACCCACCAATCCGCGCTGGGTAGGTTATCACCCACCAATCCGCGCTGGGTACGTTATCATCCACCAATCCACGCTGGGTCCGTTATCATCCACCATTCCGCACTGGGTCCATTATCACCCACCAATCCGCGCTGGGTCCGTTATCATCCTCCATTCCGTACTGGGTCCATTATCACCCACCAATCCGCGCTGGGTCCGTTATCAAGCACCACCAAGCACTAGTATTCTGATTCATGAACTATTCATCTATTTTGTGACGGGTATTATTCATTGTTTACCGATGAGTCACCGGTTACGCGCGTAACGCAAAAATCGTCACACATTCGCCAGTTTACCCCCGAGTCAAGCGTGCGTAAAGAAGTTTCACTTTAAGAAGGGAAAGACCTGTGCCTTTGCAGTAGGGACATTAATAGGCTGATTAAAATTTCAGCATAATTTTTTCACTTCGTTCAGATCCAGTGAGTGGAGTCCCCGTATGCTCTACCTCACTCAACAACGGTGCTGCTTACCAAGTGGTACAGCACAACTACAACCTGCTGGTGCACTCGCACGTGCTGCCCCACTTCCAGCACCACAACACCGGCACCAGCACCAGCCTCACCGACTGTGCCACCAGGTAGCCCCGTGTATACAATCAAATGTGATTGGCGGTGTCGTTGATCCTCACATTATATCAAATCATTTAGATATATATTGTATTTTTAAGAAGCATTTAACTTCTCGATGTTTACTTCTAAAGAAAATTTTACTAGAAATAATTCCACGCGGACCAGGTAGCAGACGGGACTCGAACCCGCACCCTCCGCTATCCGAGCGAATGCACTGACCATTATCCTACCGCGGTCCTGATGGCCGTGTCAGATTTTCTCTAGCCTTTCTTAGGCTGCAAAAAGCTGCGAAAAGATGGCGCTGCCATCAAATCATTTAGATTTTAGACTGTAAGAGCAAGCGCACATTGACCCACTAGACGCGGCCACTAGTGGCTCAGTAAAGCCACTAGACGCAGCCACCGATCGCAGCTTACCCCTTCAACTGCGGGAAAGCCTCCGCCTAAAATACCCCCCGTCTGCGGGACGATTGCGCAACCGCAGCGCGTGTTCGACGCGGTTTGAAATTTATTTAATAACTTGAAGAAATTGGTCGGTCGACATGCAGCTAAATATTTTATTTCAATTATAGATAGGCTATGTACCTTCTTTTTTAGTAATTTCCTATGGAAATTGTTTCAACCTTTTTATTTTTAACAGGAAACGTAGACAAAATCAATTTATGCACCTAAGGTGGCATAAATGCGATTTGAATAAATTATACGAATACTTGTGCTTTTCATTTATAACCTTTTCAAAGTTGAATAACAAAACAATAGATTTTTGCAAAAAATAGGATGTTTCAAGTATTTATTCATATAAATAAACTGTTTTAAAAATTACACTTACACTCCAAAAACTCGCCATTTTGCTACTCATTTAGACCGCACTTTCCATCACTCATAATACTTACTCAAGCCGCATAAAGCATTAGCTATCACTTATTTTAGTCAAATATATATTATTCTATTCTTATAATGTAAAGATATTACATAAATTACATAAATAACTAAATTTTTCGACAAATAAGGGAATCAGTACGCAATTTTTCAAGTTTTGCAAGGCCCGTTTTCAATGGCAAATTTAGAGTGTTTTTAGACGTATTTAGGTTATGGAAATGACTGAATGATAAAGTAGACAAACTCAACTGTATCGATCTGACATTCTAAATCATAGCTCAATACAAAAATATTTAGGTTTCGGTGATAACATTCCTAAATGTACTTCTTCCTCGTACTTCACTCATTCTACGCATGTGTGCGTGTACCGAGTGGTATCTGCTGCGGAAAGTGCAGATCTGCACGCACGGAAGAACCATTATCTACTTAGGAGCAGATCTGCACTATTATATAGCGTGTTCATTTTGTGAGTATTTATCTTACTTTATTCAGTCTGTGACTCAAAAATATATTAAGAATTTTATTGTGTTATGAATGGTGTAAAAATGTATGAAACCAGTTTTATCAAATGTTATTACTTTAGAGATCTTACAGTGTGTGGTGTGAAGGTTTTGAATTATTATATTACCCCACTCCCCCCAAATCCAATAGTTCACGTGTTATATCTCTAAATATACTATTACATATATACATGTGATCAATAAATATTTTTGTTTTCTTCCTCTCACTCACTCATCACTCTAATAAAACTACATGGTAGAGGTGATGCATTTTATCTATTACAAATATTAAATAACATTTACACGCAAACAATAACATTTCAAAATTATGTGAAGTTATGATTTTATTTATTATTTAAGCATTTAACTGCTAGATGTTAAATCTAAATAAAAGTTTACTAGAAAAAAAATCCACGCGGACCAGGCAGCGGACGGGACTCGAACCCGCATCCTTCGCTATCCGGGCGAATGCACTGACCATTATGCTACCACGGCCTTATTAGCCGCGTCGAAATTTTCCTAGCCTTAAGCTGCAAGGCAGCGCCATCTCTTCGCATTGTAGGTAATCCACAATGTCAAATGAATACTTTTTCAAGTATTCAAAATTCAATATCGTTTATTGAGTCCAGGCTGTTACAAGCACTTGTGAATGTCGAAAAGCTACGCCATCGGTTCGCAAAATACGGCGGGAGACCTTGTACTGATAAGAACCGGCAAGAAACTCGGCAAGGGCTGTTTTTTTCTCCCTGTATTATATACAGAGTCGTCAATTTAAAAAATGACTTCAATATGAGATAACTCATGAAGTCACTTTCCATTACAAATGTAAATGATAAAACAGTTATGACTATAATATAAAAAACAGATTTAAAAATAAAAAAAGTTTAAGAATGCCGTGTCCTACTGTTTAGGCATAAAAACAAATGTACCATTAAAGTTAAATACAACGATTAATAGTACCCAATGTAGCAAGAGCAGACTCATCTTCGCTGGCAGCACCCGTTCACGAGCATGACGCATGAACCAGCCATCGCTTCGCTCAACCATTTTTTAGGGAACGTAACGACCCGCCTCACACGACACATTAAACATTTGAAAGAAGAAATAGCAATTATAGTTATGATTTTATTTATTTTTTATGCATTTAACTGCTACATGTTAAATCTAAAGAAAAGTTTACTAGAAAAAAAAAAGTGTGAAGTTTTTAGCCTTTTAAATCTTCCAAGCTGTGGTAGTCACGCCAACATTGGTCGAGGCATAAATAAGTTTTGCACTGGCTGCAGGATATACTGGTGAATGTGTTTTTGTTTACAGCCAGACAGCGCACGCAACGTCCCCTTTTGCGCTTGCTGGCCTTGTTTGAAGTACGTTCCCCGTCTATAGGTGCAGTGACAGGGAAGTGATCTACCTCTCTGTTGAGCCTCACCAAGGTTCGGGAGCCAGTGTGCTGGCGTGGCCTAGATGTCACACCACATTCCTCCAGTATCTCTGCAGCTAGTGCATACCTAAATTGCCGGTGGGTCAGTTTCTGACTCCGTTGACCTGCCGACTCAATGTTAGCACAATGAATAATATAAGCATTGAGGATGCTAACATTGAGCATCCTCCGGAACATTTTCAGGTACCATTTGGTACCTCTTTTGCGTTCCAACAGGTACATGGCTAGTTTCTGATCTTTAAGATCGACACCACCCATGTACCTGTTGTAATCGCTTATCACAGCCGGTTTCGTGCATGGTTGACCGGCTCTGCGCCCTTCCACTACGCTGTTGTCGTGGAAAGTAGACACTGTGGTGACGAGCTTAACGTCTTTCCACGAAGTTACGGAAACGTCACCACAGTGTGTACTTTCCATGGCACCACGAGCCACCCGGCGTTCGTTTAGGTTCTTGATGATCGCCGGCGTGTTTTGTCGGCGTCGGTTCAGCGTTCCGACCACGTCAGTAGCGCGTGACTTCAAGTAGCGGCACAGCTCCACCGAATTATAAAAATTGTCCATGAAGACAGTGTAGCCTTTGCCAAGATAGTTTTGAATTAAATTCAACACTATCTTGGCAGTGCTGCTCACAAAACCTGTAACGAATGTCGGCTCGCGAGTTGAGCCTTTCCCGGTGTAAATGACTGTGTTTAAGACGTATCCAGTGACCGACTCGCACAGCTCATACGTTTTTATACCAAACCGGGCCGCCTTTGTGCGGATGCACTGGACCCAGCTGAGCCGTCCCTTCCAGAGAAGTAGCGATTCGTCAATCGCTAAATTCCTGGAAGGACGGTATAGTGCACGGAACTTTAAGTTTAGATATTGGATTACGGGGTGAATTTTTGCGATTTTTTTTTCTTCACCTCGTCCGACGATTTCGTCGTTATCAACAAAATGCAGAAACCTCATAAGAATGAGGTACCTGTCTCTAGTCATTATGGCCCGAAACCCTGGCATACCCATTATTCCTGTCTGCCAGTACTCTTCGATTTGGCCTCTAACGCATAAGCCCATTAAAATTATGACGGCAAAAAGCCGGTAGACTTCCGAAACCGATGTCTCAACCCAATCGTTTAATCTCGATCGGGCTGGTATACCAGCTTCGGAAGCCTGGGCAATTGTTTGCCAGGCATATAAATTTGTCTGGTTAACTATCGTTTCTAGAATATGTTGGTCCCACATTTGACGAAATATGCCAATCGGCGAAGTTTCGTCAATGGTGGGACCAACATCTTCTGAAAACGTCTCTCGTTGGCCGGTGAAAGTGGAGTAATCAGGACTCCATGAAAATTCATAATCTGTGATGTCTTGTTCTGCCTCGGCTTCCTCTTCAGGCGAAGCCTCGAGGAGATCACGAAGCTGATCGTTGGTCAGGAGGTCGGCTTCATCCGCTTCGCTTCCTGAATCGACCGCCAACTCTCGAGCTATTTCCTCGTCGAAGATCTCATTTTCCCACTGTAAACACATGCAAACCCTCAACCACAAGCAAACCATGCATATTATGCGTAACTGTTAGTAAATGCGGAGCCACGTTTTATCATAAATCCCCACCAAGTCAGATGCGTCAATCTTATTTACTTATGATGAGCAAACAATGGTAATATAGAATTATTTTCATAACAATATTCACTTCAAATTAATTGGTATTTGTAACGTTAATGGTAACCACATTGTCCAAAAAAATTCATGCTTTAAAATGGACTTGCCCACCAAAATAATAATAAATCATTATATTTCTTATAAACATAATGTCAAAATACTGCCGTAATATCAAACAATCAGACCAAAGCTGCGTTACCATGGCTATTCTAGCATTACGAATGTAATAGGTCCACACACAAAACACGCCACACCTAAACCACGAGATTTTAGTGCAAGTTAGACTAAACTTACATCATTTTGGTTGGCCTCGTCCTCTCCGTTTCCTCCTGGTTCATCTGACTGAAAGGAGATGATTTTTGTTATTTTATTTTTGTTATACTATGCCTTTTTTTTACAAATTAATTAGTTTTAGTCGGAAAAGTTAGCTCAGTTCAAACAAATAATTACGTTTTGCCGAATTCGAGGCTCAGGAAATAGGCAACGACGGGCCAAGTGCATCTCGTCAATGATTTCGACGCCCTCGCCACCTTGTAACGGTACATCGGCTGGGGGCCGCCATGGCTGTAAATAACAAACAAAAATAATGTATAAATGTTAAAAAACATAATTTTACCGTCTTCATTCGATCAGCTGACCCTTTTTGTATGACAAGGGAAATATTTTTAGTAGGTACTTACACGAAGCCTCCCGGAACCTGTTCTTGCCATCACTACCTCAGGGCCAACGGTTAAGCTGCCCTGAGGAGTCCTCAGGACCTCAAGGGCTCTTATCAGTTGGTTGTTATCTTCCATCTTAAAACCTAGTTCAAGGGAAGCATACTTAATTAGTTTTCTATTTATTTGCATCCACTTCTTAAAAAATAAAAAGTAAACAACAAAAAATATACACCGTGACTTTTTAAATACCCGAGATAATTTACTTAGCATATATTGAGACATCGATAAACATCATATTTCGCGAAAAAACTTGCCAATTATTTTTTTTGTATGAACACAATTTAATTTGAATGTAGCTAATTAACATATACGTTTCTCTAATCGAGAATTTAAATTTGACTCTTTTTAAAAAAACAGTGTATATATATAACAATCCGTACACAGTAATAAACTTGGATACGACCGCCGGTACGCGAACAACGAAGAAGACTGAACAAATTGATTAAATGTTAGCAACAAAGCACGTGTAAGGCGAGGCGGCACCTTTTGAAGTCGCGCACACGCACCTTATCAAAGGTGCCGCGAAAAGAGCGGCAATCCACAATAGCGGCGGCATGCTTTAAAGTCGGCCGGGTTGAGCGTTAGAGATGTTACTGTTTTTTATTTTGAATGGAAACCTTGAAAATATTACGATAATTTACTAAGACTGTGTAGGTACATCGTCGACAGCTGGGCTACCCGGTCATTGATTTTTATTCGGTAACCCATTTTTTTTCACAGGCCTAAAATACCTAGTATTTTATATTATTTATTATTTTTGACGACCTGTTTAGCTGTTTAGATTGTGACGTAAGGGTTGCGGGTTCGATACCCGCACAATCACAAAATATTTGTTGATAAAATAGGTATTTGTGCTTGCGTTGTGGTCTGGGTTTAGCTATAAAATTAGCTATTACAGCTGTTTTATACAAGTAAATGATATCACGTATTATCTTTTCTTACGCATATAGTAATATTAAATAAAAATAGATATTCCATAATTATTACAAATTTCGGATTACTTTTATATCAGTCTCAACGTAGGACAGTATGATTTGCGTATTTTATTGTGAATAACATCTAATTCAAATACGGATCTTTACTTTACTAACTTCGGCATAACGGACCAAAAAAACAACACTCTGTAGAACGGTGACGCAGACACCGTGTACGCATACACTCCGGCCGCCATATTGCCTTATGAATGTGTGCGTGCGATTTGAATCATGTTTGCAAAAATAACACTTTTTTACACGTAATTTAGCTTTTTTGTGTATAGTTCGTTATCACTGAATACACTAAAGAATTCATAATGTAAATTTGATAAAAGTATCATGCAGAATATATGAAGAACCTTCAGAATATTTTGAATTTTACAACCGTTACCAAAGTCAGTATTTTTATGCATGCACTTTATCAGCGATTATTTGATATCAGTAATGTCTTTCGTTTCGATTATATTTCTAAATACACTAAGACACTTTCTTAATACATTAATAACACTTTATTACTTACCTTTATAGAGATTTCTTCAATAAAACACACTTTCACAGAACAAGAAATTTTTAGTTGCGAACTTCCCGGTGGTCGATTTTAAAATCGTCGTACTAACGGTTGTTTGGTCATAAGAACGACTTCACTGCAATGAGTGAATGGTTTATTCATCTGGGTTTAAAATTCAAAAGACTTTGAACTGTATTACATTACATTTATTTCCAAAAATGCAAAAAATTGAATACGGGTGACGAGCGAGCAGATCTGCACTTCCCCAAACGGGCTATACTCACGAAGGCGTGCAGAGCTACACTTACGCTGTTGAAGGGTTACTGGCGGCCACTCGAACACTTAATTTGTGCCCATTCTATACAAAAGGTGCAGGTAAAATAAAAATAATAGTAAAATAGTTTTAATGTTATATTATATTATATCTGAGCAAACTGGCATTGATTTGCGCTCCATCACTGAGGCGAGTATTGAGCAGTGCATTTTTTGACTAACAGGCACAGTCATACAATGCTCTTTTTAAAAGTGTTTCTCTTAGAGGATCTTTAACAATTTTAGTTGAGAATGCAGATTTGTAGAGCTAAGGTTTTCATAAAATACAATACCGCTTAAATTTTTGTTCTTTGACAAATAATGACGAAATTATGACCAAATTAATAAACGAATTTTCGACTGGCCGCGTGGTGACTGTGAGTGAGGTCATAGAGCTCTAGGACTGACGTTACACGTTTCGGTCGCCGGTGAATATTGGCTACCATAAAATTAGTTATAAAATTGATATCGATGACTTTAAAAGTGTATTAATTAAAAAGCTTATTAGATCATTATGTATATTATTTAATATTCATAAATGTTCAAATAATGCCTTATATTTTTGATTGTTTTATTGTTTTTGACTACGTCAAGGGCGTCGCCAGCTTTTGACTAAGCAATTGGGCAATATAATAGGTAAGTTGTATATAAAGGTTTGATGATTTATTATATCATTATTATATTTCTGTTCAGATTGAAACGTTATGAAGCGGTGACGATAACTTCGACAGCGCCAGCGATCTCTTTAGGCGAGCCTGTCACGCAATCACCGCACCATAAAGACGGCCGCCGCGCTAAGGAATTGGTCAAGGCGCAATTGCAAGAAGGAATGCGGCTGACGTAAGTGTTAACTATGTGCATCTCCTTGAAGTTTGTTCGATAAAAGAATTGGGAGTGAATTGGACTCGTTTTTTTAAATAATTTAGTAAGTATGTTTATAAAAAATCTAATCATAATAAAAATAAATAAAAAAAAACTGTGTATGAAACAAGGTTACATAAAAATATAGGTCTTAATGCGAATGCACAGTACCATTTGACCCTACCTTTTCAAGTGCTTACACATTTATTTTAAACTTATAATCTAGGATAATACTAAAAATTATGTTTCCTTTATGGATAAAAAATCCAGGTCCTGTTTCCTTTCCTCTCCTTAATCATTAACTTATTTTTTTCGATTCTTATATTTTGTATATAAAGTTGCAAAAGAAATAGACGTTCTGTGAATATTTTCTGTATTATTACGATTGAGACAGCAGGACGCTGTCAGAGAGATGGAGGCTTGGTAATAGAATACGGTAAGAATCCAAAAATATGGTGTAATAAATCACTCGTATAAACGGTAAAATAATAACACGCACTGATTTACAAGTGACACACTTGTTTCAAACATAAATCAAGCTAATTTAAATAAGAGATAGGGTGGGCCTTCAGTTGGTTATTTATTTACTATTGTCAACTCTCGTACAAAATACAATTATCATAGCCGCATTAGGTTGTTTAGTTACAATGATTTGGATTTCACTTCCGCCTTTGAGTCTATAGACTTTGCTATTTAATACAGTAATTGAATAATTCACTCAAGTTTAAGATTACTACCATATTTAAATAAAATCCGAAAAAATAAATACTGTAATATTGCCGAAATGTTTTATTACCAATACGCGGTCTTGCAAGGTTCTCTCGGTCCTCTAATCTTTCCAAAGGAACAGGTAACTAAATACCCCACGCTCATTTCCTTTAATATTGTTATTTACAATGCAAAAGAGAAAATAGCGCGAGGCATTTAAAATCCTTCGGCGGTCCGTAATAATAAAACCATAGCCATAGTTTTTTTCCGATAGGCGGTAGACGGTCCCCAGACGAGCGTTTGGATTGTACTTAACCCATGCGTTAAGTAAATCTTAATATATATAAATCTCGTGTCACAATGTTGGTCCTCAATGGACTCCTAAACCACTGAACCGATAATAAAATTCGCACACCATGTGCAGTTCGATCCAACTAGAGAGATAGGATAGTTTAAATCTCAAATTATAGTCGCAATTTTGATTTATTGCAAATTATTACTTTTGGGCGGTACGAAGTTCGCCGAGTCAGCTAGTATTTCAATATATATAAAGAGGTTCTCCAAAGCTCTCATGTTGGTTTTTATTCTTTATAAAGGTTGACGGAGACCAGACGAGCGTTTAGACTTTATTTAACCCATGCGTTGAAGTACATATTCTTCTAGCTATTAAATGGTTGTACAAGGCTCTCATTCTTTCTAAAGGATGGGTGAGACCCGACGGGCGTTTGGATTGTATTTAACGCACGTGTTGAAGCGGATTTCGTCGCCTGGCAACGAGTTGGGCGTTCAGCACGCGGCGCTTGTCCTGCGGTTCCTGAAACGCGCGTCTGCAACGCTCCGTATGCCCTACAACGTAAAGGTGCCAGGTTTTACGCGACACGCACGCTTATAAAACACCATGTTTACTTATTTCATTTGCCTTTATTTGAGATTTTATTTAATACTAGCGGCCGCCCGCGGCTTCGTACGCGTGAAGTTAGTTAGAAATAAAGGTTCACTGCTCGTTCCCCGTAGGTGATAGCGTGATAATATGTAGCCTATATGTTGACCCGACTTCTTAATAATATTCGTGCCAAGTTTGAAGTAAGTCCATGCAGTACTTTTTTAGTTTATCCCGGACATACATACAGACACACGGACAAAAATTCTAAAAACTATATTTTTGGCTGCGGTATTGATTGTAGATCACACCCCAGGTATTATTAATTTAGTTGGGAGCGTAATAAGTGAACTGTTCCCATTCCATCTACTTGAATGTTGGAAATATTTTTAATCACTAATAAACAAAAGATTTTATGATTATATTTTTAATTTTTAAGCATTTAACTGATAGATGTATAAATCTAAAAAGAAATTTACTAGAAAAAAATCACTCGGACCAGGCAGCAGACGAGACTTGAACCCTCACCCTTCGCTATCCGGGCAAATACACTGACCATTATGCTACCGCGGCCCTGACGGCCGTGTCGAATTTTCTCTAGTCTTTCTGAAGCTGCAAGGCAGCGCCATTTCTTCGCATTGTAGGTAACCCACAATGTCAAATTATAATACCTTTACAAGTATCAAACATTTGAAAGAAGAGATAGCAATTATAGTTATAATATATTATTTTATAAGCATTTAACTGCTAGTTGTATAAACGTAAAGAAAATTTTACCCTATCCAGATAGCGAAGGGTGAGGGTTCGAGTCCCGTCTGCTGCCTTGTCGTTGTTATGATCGACGTTATGATTTTTAAATAACTACTTATGTAATGCATCCTAGATGGTTAAAAAAAACTTTCATTCTTCATTATCATAAACTGTCACCCCTATTTTAATAAACGAAGAATAGGCTTGGATAAGTTACTCCATGTTTTGTCTCTGTACATTTCTCGTTTAATAATAAGGGGGTAAGTGTAAAATCCAAATAAAGACAAATATATAAGTGAAGTTTGATAAACACTTGAACACTGCACTGCGCACAGAATACTTAATACATTATGTAACTGCTGTACTCGGGAGACACCAATAAGTTTGATTAAAGTTAATGTCGTCACTTTCTTTTCAATACCAAAGTAATGCGACATCTTAATGAATATCACATGTAATTTACGTCTCTGAATGCGGACATGGTTACATATTTGAAAAGCTTTTATTAGTTTTCCCTTTCTACCATTATTTCACGCACTTTAATTAAAAATTAACTCAAATGATGTCCTACAAATATGAAATCGAATAACAACTGATTATTAAAATGCTCTTGGGGATGAAAATTGCCAATGTATCCCGCCAGTTGTCGAATGGCCACTATCAACAAATCGAGAGAGCTGTCAAAGCCACAAGGAAAACGGGCAAATTCCGATTGACTTGAGCTGCGTTCCAAACCTACGCCTGGAGGTACAAAAAATGTCAAATTTGATATAAGCTTCATGCATGTTATGCTCTGAAATGTTATGTCAAAATTGAAATGTCAGAGTAAAAATCTAAAGAAATTTATTCTAGAAAAAATTCCAGCAAAAATATAACGTCAGTCTAAAAAGTTGCACTCAGCGCGTAGGTTTAGAACGCAACCTTGAAGTAGCAGTTTGCTTGTTTGTTATGGTCCAAACGGCCAAAGCGCCATCTGTAATGAGTTATGCCTTTTCTTTCCCATCGTTTTTGATTCTTGTCTATGCATCGGTTGTGTTTTATTTCTTTCTCGTTGATTGTGCCTTTCATGCTAGTGCTATACGACCCGGAAAACTACTCGAGCTTCGACCATAGACAAGGAAGCCTGTGCAACAATTTTACATACAAAATCGTCTGCTGCGCAACTTTTCTGTGCTTTTGTCATTGACTTTTTTACGTCAACGGGTTTTATTCAAGATGTTTCCCGGCTACCTTTCCTTTATCTATTCCCTGTTTTTACCCGACTGCGCAATGCAAGAGCGCGAAGCGCGACGCGCAGACAGGGTATAGTATTTAACAGCCTATATATGTAGGTATGTTCCTTTGTGGCACACTAAGAGACCAAACGCTTGGATTTTGATGATTTATACATCAATCGATTCGTCTTAATCATGGGAGTGCTACTAAAGATATGATAATAATCAAAAATCAATAAGGAGACAACTGGTCGCCATATTGTGAGAAAGAAAGAAAAATAATTTGCCGAAATATGTCGAGTGGGGTATCATTGTCTAGATAATAGAAAATCATGTTTAGATTCCTTACACCATTTTTCATTTTATATCATTGTTTATTATGTATAGGGTCCACCAGCTAAGATGTGCGACAAGGACAGGTGCGCAGTGATAGCGAAGCAGTTGAACGACTTCCTGTACATGTACTATCGCGAGACCGACCTCTATACCGACAGCGAGGACCGTCGCGGATGCGTGGCCAATATACACTTCGCGCAGTTCTTGTATTCCGCAAGGTAAATAATTAAAAAAAAAATACTTTCAACACTCACACCAATGAGGGCTACCGTTTTCTGTCTCACCAGATGGCGCCACTGTTGAGTGAGATCCTAAATTGTAACTTTTAAAGTTTATTAATACGCACATGAAATCAAAGGTTACAACATTAGATCGTATTTTAACACAAAAGAACCATATCCTAAACATAATAGGCCATTTTATTAAGAAAAAATAGGAACATAATCATTTTTCTAAGCTCAAATTTTTAATAACTGACATTCATTGCCACATAACTCATATTTGCCATAATTAAGCCGAATTGTTACCAATTATTCACAACATTATTTTAATAAGAAATAAACCCGCGTAGTCAACCAACAAGCAATAACATTTGACATTTCGGAGACCTCACGCTACATTAGCGCCTCTAGCGGCGGATTCATACGCGATAGCCCTCATTACCCTAGCCCCAAAGTAAGCACTGTAAGGCTTGTGATATGAGATGCTAGGGTAACGGATAGAATACATATACTGTACATATACAGGGCGTCCCACGGCTACCTCATACGGAGAGAAAGTATATTAAATATTTTAAGTTAGGATATTTTACTGAAAGAAGACATCATTTTATTTTTAATAATAACTAGAACTGCATTCACAGATTTTTAAAAAATCGCCTGCTACAACTGAGAATCAAACTCGTGAAATTTAAAAAAAAAATACAACATATTTTATGATGACCATCGCAAGGGTTAATCATAAAGATTAATTTTTGCTCAATAATATAGCATTTTAAATGAAAGGAATGTCTTATTACGTGATAAAAATAATAAAGTGATACACAAACTGTAGTACGTACTGTAGTACGTACTGTAGTACGTACTGTAGTACTGTAGTACGTACTTCCGTCCCACTTCACGTAATCACTCTCACAAATTGCACGAAAGGGAGAGGAAAGATGTTACAAATTAATAATTTCATCCACCCCTTCTTATAGGCTGTTGTGATTGAAATATTTTCATCTGTTTCACAGTGAAGCGGACCTCGAAGACGTGTTGCTCGTTCAACTAAGAATGGAGAACTTCACAGCAACATTCTTGGGAGATTCACGCAACCCCTTCATCGTGGATCTGCCGCCTTCTCGACTAGCTCCTTTACCCCCACCCCGACACACGCTACTGCGCCATCTTGCCGCTTTAGCCCCCGCCAATACGAGACGGTACAGGTAATGACATTATTTGATATCGGATCATCATCATCAAAAGCCTATTAATGTCCCCACTGCTTGGGCACAGGCCTTCTATATGGATGGAATAGGGAGATTGGGCCATGACCCCCCACGCGGGTCCAGTGCAGATTGGTGGGTGCTAACGACTGCAGATGCAGCCGGGACCAACGGCTTAACGTGCCTTCCGAAGCACGGAGCAACTTGAGATAGAAGAGTTTTGGTCACCTATCTATTGACCGACCACTGCGAAAGTTGCTTAACTTCAACGATCGCAGCCGAGCGCGCTAACCACCCGCGCCATCGAGCTCCTCAAATATATCATCATTGGATATCGGATAATCGCACAAAGCACAGAAAAAGGTAAGAAGGGTGATCATAGACTATTTCTACGAGTAACGATGTTGCCGGCTCGCCTCCCCTACACTTTCTTCTAATAGATAATAACCAACATTCTTGGGTGATTCACGCAACCCCTTCATCGTAGACCTGCCGCCTTCTCGTCTAGCTCCTTTACCCTCACCCCGACATACTCTACTGCGCCATCTTGCCGCGTTAGCCCCCGCCAATACCGGGCGGGAGCATCGTCTGTCTGTCATCACTGTCATCATTAACTGACTTCAAAAAATAAGGAGGTTCTATGTTCGACTGTTTTTTTTTTATGAATGTTCACCGATTTCTCCGTCAACTGTAATTGTTTACTTTGACGATGTAATTTTCACTAAAATGGATGAAATAAAAAAAAATAAACAAAACATAACACCGACTTCATAATCGAAAATGGAACTAAAAAGTAAAAAATAATATCTGGTTCATGATTTGGAAGTCAGGCGGGTCAAGATTGAAACCTTAAATAGATTTTCGTTTCTGATCGGTAATAATACGTGTGTCAAGCTTGACCCGCCAGACTTCCAAATCATGAACCAGATATTATTTTTTACTTTTAGTTCCATTTTCGATTTTGAAGTCGGTTTTATTTTTTAGGATATCGATAATAGACAGGAAAGGGCGTTTCAAAACACGCAGAAAGGATCTACAACAAATGATCGAATCTAAACTTAATGTTGTTAAACATGGATTTAAGTACCAGCCGGTCGAAATTTTTAATAGGCTTCCAATCAGTTTGAGTTCTATAGTTGACTACAAATCTCTTCAAATCAAATTGAGGTACTTCTTGTTGAAGAAATGTTATAACAGTGTTGACGAATTTATGAGACAGGACTTATTTGACATGTTTATTATTTTATTTTTTTAATATGAATTTTATCCAATTTGACATCGCAAATTTGTATTTTTTCTTTATATTTATTAATTGGAGGTAATAATCCAATTTAACATCAATAATAATTTTATTGCTAAGCTAATTTATTGTTTTATTTATGTCTGCTTCTATTTTGTATTATTATTTCCAACACAATTATAGTGTTGAATGGAATAAATTATTTGAATTCAATTGAATAACCGCTCAGGACACAGAAAGAGGTTAGAAGGGTGATCATAGACTGTTTCTACGAGAAGCGAAGTCGCCGGCTCACCCCCATTAAACTTCCGCATAATAGATAAATAGCCTATCAAACAACGCGACATCAAACAATCGAACCAATCAGATCTCGCAGCCGAGAGCAACGACGCAATCAGAACCAAGTTTTGTTCAAGTTATGAGCGTTTGCTCACACATTGCTGTGGTGCGCCTGCCCCGCCCACTAGGCATTTCTAACCTCTTTCTGTATTCTGTGGATAATCGGATGCATATTTACCTAAAGTGATTTTTTTGCTTTCAAATTCTTAGAATATTTTTTAAAATATAAAATTTTCAATTTTCCATTCGCGTATGTAAGGTGTAATAAAAATGGCGATATGATGGTTAATAAGATAACATATACCCTTACAGGCCGTGTTCAGATCAGTCTAGCCGTGGTGAGGCAGAAGAGTCTAGCACAGAAGATCAAGCCATATCCTTCTCCACTTCGGACGTAGTGCTCAAGGAGTCCCTCAAGGAAGAGAAACCACTCATCCAAGCCCTCAAGTATGCACGATCCTAGCACGACACAAACTAATTGATTAAAACTTTTAACTTCACACCAAATCATCAATTACCGCTTACTAAAAAAAAATCAGATTTGTCGACATAGATAGGAAACCGCGTAAGTGCAAGTTTTGCATTTTTCGATTACCTCATTATTAAATGCCACTGACGAAGCTTTTTAGTTTTAAGTATGACGAAAATCGCTTTAACACAATATCTAATATTCTCATTTAATTAAAGATTTGGTTATATGGAGAAGCGCCAGATTAAAGACTAGTTGAAAATTGAAATCGGTATCAATATATGTAAATTTAAAGGGAGCGAAAGCAATATTTAGAGGTCGTAGCCAGTGGAAAAATATTTGGGCTACCCTCATGCGAGAAAGGCATAACTTAAGATACGTAATGTAAAACAAATACTCAAGTGTTAGTTAACTAGCTAAAATTCAAAGCTGTATTTCCCACCCTGAAAATTTTAATAAATCGCACTTGTGAGGTTTTCCCTCTATGATCGAGTTTGTCTATCGTAAAATTTTAGGGTTGTCATCTACCTACCTCTTAGATAGCCATAAATTTATCTAAAAATAGATTTATTCCCATAATTGAAATTATAGGTATAAAAAAAATAGAAAAACATCTCATTGATAAAGATTTCTGATAGAAAATGAAAAAATAATCATTTATTACCTAACTAACAGATTAAATCCGTTGGTTCGGACATGTGGAAAGAATGTCAAATGAGAGAATGACTAATTAGATATACAGAGAAAAGGGGGCCATTCGTCTAAAGAAAATGTTTTGGAAAACGCTAACGCTTTCGATTTTATTTTGTTATATCTGACCACCGCCGAAGGTTTTCAAATACCTCACGCTCATTTTTTAATATTGTTATTACCAATGCAAAAGAGAAAAAAAGAGCGCGAGGCATTTAAAAACCTCAGGCGGCTAGAAATAACAAAATGAAATCGTAAGCGTTAGCGTTTTCCAAAGCATTTCCTTTAGGCAAATGGCCCCCTGGAAGCCGAGGAAGGCCAAGACTCAGGAAGGTGACGTCAGAACCCGCTAAAATCAGCGGGCGTGTATGAAAAGAGTAATTTATGTGAATGGAGCGAAAGACGTGTGTACGGACCGTGCCTTATGGCACTCTATTCTCTCTGCAGAAAAACATTGACGGAAAAAAATAATAGAGTGAATGTGCCTGGACCTTCGAATTTTGAAGCATGGAGGTTAAAAATAAGGAGAACGATCACTATAGAAATTAGTATCCCAGAAATATGGACAAAATAAGTGAGGCGCTGCGATCGCTAAGTTGTCTCAATAAAAGCGGGCTAATTTGAAATGACCGATGCCACGAAGAAAATTTGTACATTACTCAACTAACTTCATCTACTTGTTCTCATAAACAGCTAACTTCACAGATACTACTTACCGACGGCAGCGCCGGCTGGTGGCTGAAAAATGAACTATAAATTCTACAAAGTTTTAGGGATAGGCGGGCTAATGCTTTAGTACTTAGCCATCGTTCTGATTCTCTCTAACCTCCATGTTTTGTAGTGACATATGAATAATGAAAGAGACAAGCCTTCCGACTACAGTGCGATATACTAGGAATTGGCTAAAAACATGAAAAAACTAAACCAGACAAATTCCTACACTATTCCTACACGAACAAAGTAATTTGGTGACTCATTTCTTTGTCGTACTATTCGTAAGTGTAATTCTTTGCCCGGGCACGTGTTCCCTCCTTCCTATAATCTGGGGTCCTTTAAGAGGCGCGAAGAAGCAATTTTTCAGGCCGGCAAGGTGAGGATGGTTGGTGCAGCAGTTTATAACTGCTGTACCAGCTATCTTCGCGTTTAGACTTTATCACCACTTAACATCAGGTGGGGTAGAGTCATTTGCTTACCTGGCTATAAAAAAAAAACGAGTGAGCCTTACAGTAGTCGCGTATGATGTGTAACATTTGAAACCTCACCTTAAATGAGTAAAAAAAGTAATAAAACTTACTACAAAAGGAATAAGCCATTTGAACATTATGTTCTAAAATCAAATAGCGCGCGCTTTCGCGACTTCCTGTGACACACTTCCGTCCCATTTCACGAAATCATTCCCACAAATTGCAGGATAGCGAGAGGAAAGATGTTACACATCAATAAATTAAGCAATAATATGGCACTTACAAAATTACGGTCACGGAAAAGTTTATATGGTAATTGAGATTGCATAAAAATGTTCTATGTGTTCATTAATCACAATAGGCTAGTTGACTCATGTCGAATTGTACTAAATAAATGTTTATATCTTACAGTATTTGGTCTAAGGAACCTAAATATATCGATTTTACTTCATAAAAGCAGAAGATTGCTGTAGAAATTTAATTTTAAAAAATATTTTTTAGTCTATATTTTTTAAACACTAAAAACGCTGTTCGCCACATCCGCCATGATTTTGACGTCTCTTTCAGTAAACAACTAAATGTCATTCGCGTGTTATTGTGGGTGGATTCTTTAGTCTGAATAAATTTATCTTAAAACACTTTTACCTTTAGAAAAGTTTCCGTTTACTGTTTTTTTTTTGACAAAACTAATTATGGATGCCTGCTTTGTGAAAGCAGAAAGCACAAATCTGAATTTTTTGCACTAAACCCCGATTTCTGCTCTGCGGAGCAGAGAAACGACAAGGCATCTATGTAAGTACAGTGCATTTAGTATTACAATGTAGTAATAAACATAAAACTGATACAACATATGAATAAGTGTAATAAAGTTGCGTAGGTTAATTTCTTTCGGCACTTTAATCCACAATATTCCTGGAGTCTTCAAGGATGTGGTTTTATATTCTCGTACAATACAATAATGATGATTACTTTATTTTTCGTGATATTTATTAGAAATCATGTTCTTTTTATTATAAACTCGGATAAGTTATTTTCTACGTGCTTACAGGTTTTTGTTTACTACTGTTGACATCATAGCATAGACAATTTATAGACTAAAATGGCCGACAGCGTTTTTGTATGTCCATGAAAAGTCTATTTTAAAATTAAAGATTTGTAGCTTTCTAGGTTTAAAAAAAATACAATACTTTTTTTTTCGGTCTAATAGAACAATTATTAACCATTTAAAACCTTTTTCCAAAAAGGGTCAACTAGCCTATTGTACAACATCTCTTGATCAAACCTTGTTCATTATTAAAAAATCTAGTATAGGTAAATCTTAAATATCACTCTATTGTTAGGTGTCAAAATGTTGAAAGAGTGAAGGATAAAATGAATGGTGTTGTCTTAGATTTAGCAAGAAACCCACCAATGGAAAAGCATAAATTGTAGGTTTATAAATCACTCCCTGAGTGTAAAAAGACCACGGGAAAATATGACAAAGCTAAAACAATCAAAAAGGAGAGGAACTATGTAATACTAGGAAGGCTAGAATTTATGTGCTTCTCCTGTATTTTACGAAAATTTATAATACAAAATAGACGTGACTTAATGTAGCAACCAATTGTGAGTATCTTAGCGATGCTATTGGAGATAATTTAAAAATGACGTGTAATGTGTGCATGAAACGGGACATATTAAACTTTAAGAAGGAAAGTATTTTAACTGAGTTTAAAAAAATAAATTAAACATATTTACCTAATGTTAATTGCCTCCGCTGTCCAACATTAATAATATAGGTTGTAGTTACTAAACAACTTGAAAAAAAACGAATCTCATAAGTGTTGTATGCTTTCGACAAATTAGCAATAATTCGGATGTAAGTTTGTAACTGATAGGTAACCTTTGAGCCAAAGCGTCTGCCCCCTCCCTTTAATATTTTAATTGACAAGTTAATAAAGGTGCTATCAGAAAGAACGCAATCGGGAGACAAACTTATATATCGTAGCGTTTATTGCCGTTTGTGAATTAGCTAAATCTTGAGATAGGACTAGCCTCGTGATTTTAGTACATAATTAAAAGTTAAGGACTTTTGCTGAAGCACGCTGCAGACTTTGTCTAATAATTTAAAAGTGTAACTCAGTTTCTTGGTAATCCAGCTGCGGCTCTCTGCTTATGCAGTCTGCAATGTACTTCGCGTAACAACTCGTTTGCACAGTGATCCATTTTTAGGTTTACAAAGCTAATGCCAGCAACCGATTCTCGATGAGAGGCAGGCTTGGTATTATAAATGTAGTGAGATTCATACTTTATGGCTGTTGTGAAGTTAGCGACAAGCGCGTCTGTGCGTTGTTTGCAGTTCAGAAAAACTCCGCGTGTACCTTAATTTCGTTTACTGCGCCGCGATCTATTCAACTTCTTAGCTCTGAATCGCGCTACACTACAGATCGCGCCAATTTTCTAGTCCTCTCTGAACACTGCACAATTTGCGTAATAGTAAAAAAAGACAAATATAGATGAACGAGGGTTGTGTTTTGGACCTGCGTGAAGCAACTTCAGAGCGGACTTTGTTGCGGGCTGAAGTTTGACGCGATCTGTGCTAGACATTAGTTACCCTAAAAACATGTGGATAGCCACACATCAAGATGGTGGGGATGAAATTTTTGTCGCGATGACCAATAGATAAAATCAGCAGCTGGTATTAATCCGAACAATACCTCAGAATACTCCTCGTGTTAAATGCGATAGAAGATGCAGAGCGAAGCTATATCTCTACGCAAAGCCACAGGCCTATCGGAAAGGTTCAGGTCTTCGACAATTCTGGATGCGATCTAGAGGGAGAAGCTGGTACTGAGGTGCCCCCGGCAAAGATGAGTACAGAACTCCATGTGAAGCCGAACATGTGCTTTATAAAGTTGGTGGAAAGTTCCCTCTTGATCTATGGAGCACACCGATCTTCTTGGAGGCTAATTTGGCCTTGTTCTCCAGTTGAACTCTGAACTGGATGTCGCTTGATATTACCGCGAAGAATACCGACACGAGCTAAGGCAATAAGGGAAGTGTTCTCGAAAAAGGGGGATTCGACAAATGGTATACTTGTGTTTTCGTGGGGTTAAATTGGACTAGATTAAATTGTCCACAATTTGATGCTTCGCTGAGTAAAGTCTCAACTTCCGACACAAGTTTGTTACGGCTCTCCATTGCGTTTTCCCGTAAATTATTGGCGCGGCCGGTATATAAGGCTTCACCTGTGCTGTCGTCTGCATAGCAATGAATGCCATTAATTTAAAGCATTTCAATAATATGCAGAAGAAACAAAGTAGGTGCTAGCACTCAGCCTTGTTGGACACCCGCGTTTACGGATTTGGAGTCCGAGCATACACTGTGAACTATGAATTTGATGCTCATATCCGCAAGAAAGTTTGTAACCCAAATGCAAAGTTTTTCGGAAAGCCGAATTATAATATACTAAAAATAATGAAATATTCGAAGCTTCCCGAAAGAAGCACTTTGTGCCAGACCCGATCCGAACCCGGTACCCGATATCGGAAAGACCCGAAAGGCCTTTCCGATATCCAGACTGACCTCTGATGCTATGTCTCGATCTATTTTATGTCTTCTACGGAAACCGTACTGGTGATAACTGATCAGCCGGCGGTCCTCCAGGTACCGAAGGAGCTCGCGTTGATAATGGATTCCATTATCTTGGAGAACAAGGAAGTGATGGCTATAGGTCTGGGGGTCTACTCTCTTTTTCCGAAACGAACCTTTGATAACGTAGCTCAAACGAAATTTAATTTCGTCAATTTAAGGTTATATTCAATTTTAACGATAAACTATTAAATAGAAGCTTTCTTTGAGTAGGCTTAGAAAATCTATACCTCAATCTTTATTCCGACGACGAATATTATAATAAATTAAAAATGAACCAGAAACAGTAAGAAAAGTGCGAAGTTTCGATCGAAATTTAGTTTTTCGTTGAATTAGGATAGGCCTTCTTTAGTTCACAGGAAGAGAACGGTCGCCTATTGTTTGGAAACACTGAGTAAACGAGTTGTGCGGAAAATTTAGTT